ATATATATATATATATATATATATAATATATAGGAGCAATAAATGGTAAAATAAATCAAAATTTGTGAAATAGTACTGTCAGGAAGTACATAAGCAATATATACTATATCCCATAAGAATCTGTCAAGAAATAAAGTAAACTAAATTATACCTTTTATAATAAAAGGATGTTTGTAGATGTCTAGCAAGGCTAGCCCGGTGGATTGTAATATATGTATAACTTGTTATATAACTTCATTTAGAAATATTTTAGCATGGTAAAAAAAAATGTTAATTTTCTGATGATTATCAAACTGCTTAAAGGTGTATTTGTTGGTCTAAAAGTATAAATGGCTTCTATTATCATATAGACTCAAGCTGCTATTATTTCGAAACGGAAAAATTATAGAAGATAATTTTTTCACAGCTGATAATTAATAAGTATAACTATAGGTTTTTTTTTGTATGCGTTTGTTCGAGAAACGCATTTATGATATACATAATAGGTTAGAACGAAATAAAGAGCAAAGTAAAACGAAGACAAATAATGTAAAATAGATTTATTTTTGTTATAATAAGAAGCACTGATTGAAATATGTGGTGACGTATCCGATATCACGTGATTTTCAGCTTATATACCAATTGGCAATGAGAAAGCTCTAAAAAAGAGGAACGTAGCAACACGAAAATAAATCATCAACATGAATCTGAAAATAATGTAAAAAATAAAATGTCATTGGCTTAACATTTTTCCTTGAAATGCACAGTGACGCTAATCTGGATAGAAAATATATGTTGCACAGTAAACAGGTAAATTTAGATACCTATAAACGCTATTTTTTATGCCCAAACCTTTTTTTTTCAAACATGCTTCGAAATAAACACCTTAAGTCCCTTTAAACGTATAACAAAAGGCTCTGATAAACTCTCCTAAATAATTTACTTATTCTTAAGATTAAAAAAATTATAAAAAAAAAGACGAACGGGGAAGGGGCGACTTCCTGGAAGCAAAGCAAGCCCACCCACCAGACCATCACACAATACCAAGGCGTGTCA